AGAGAGAGAGAGAGAGAGAGAGAGAGAGAGAGAGAGAGAGAGAGAGAGAGAGCAGTGGCGAAGCGTCTATATAATCAAATGATCACTGCTTCCCTTCCTAATTTTGAAACATTGTCGGAGTCAAATTCGCCCATAGATGTAAACCTCATAAATTACATGTAAAAAGACGCTCATAATCACCAATGAACAGTATGCCTAACATTCAAAACAATTTCATTGCCACAGAAAAAGCCTGTTCACCCCTATCGGGCCAGTCCAAAAGCAGTCGCAAGCTTTGATTAAGTAAGCTTACAGTGAGGCTGGAAGAGTCTATCAAAAGAGTTGGAGAGAACATGTGCTCAGCACTCAAAACTGTTTCATTGCCACATATACCCTGTTCACCCCTTTCGAGCCACAGTTATAAGCAGTCGCAAGCACTGATTATGTAAATTAACTATTACAATGGTCGAGTCTACCTCACAGATGTGAGAGGAACAAACTCCTAATAATGTCTTGACTGCTTTGAGTGTTTGTTTTTTTTCCTCGACTTTTTACCGTCCTATAATCAGATCATGACCTAGGTTATGAAACGGGCTCCTGGCCGCGAAACGCTAGACAAAAACAGCCAAATGTGAAATAAAAAATTAATCATTGTCATGTTCTACTAAAGAGTTTAGACTCTCTGGTATAACATGGATTACTGACATCTTTGCTTCTTTCCTTTGTGATTGTGTATTCATATCTAAAGTAAAATTGTATGTTAGTTGGAGTAGATAATGATATGCTTTCCCAATTATTTAAGCGGTTGAACCTGCATACGATGTGAATTCAGGATTTGTTTTCATTCGCAACTCAGTGTTGCCACCTCGAGTAAGATTCTGGACCCATCTCACTTTCATTACCCTGTCAAACAAGTTAGCCTTCGCCCCTGAGAGAGATAGAGAGAGAGAGAGAGAGAGAGAGAGAGGGAGAAGGGGGGAGAGAGAGAAAGAGAAATAGAAGGGGAGAGACACAGACAGACAGACAGACAGACAGACAGACAGACAGACAGACAGACAGACAGACAGACAGAAACAGACATTCGGGGGGACCAGTAAGCAAACCACTCGGAAGGTTGTAGTGTTGACATACTGGTCGACAGTCTAACTCGCTGATCTTGATAAGAACTTTGAGTTAGAATAGATAATATTACAGTTATTGAGTTGTATGTTTTGTTGTTGTTGTTTTGTTTTGCTTTGTTTCGTGTTGTTGTGGGGTTTCGGGTTATTTTATTTTATTTTATCTTATTTTATTTTATTTTATTTTATTTACATTCCTTCTTGGGGGTAGGGTGTGGGGAGACGGATAAAGAACTGAAAAGCGGGAATGGTAAAGGGGGAGGGGGGGGAGAGACGTTTTACGAGATGGAGAAAGTGGTCGGAAAGCGTAAGTAAGTGAAGTTATAGAGGGGATCCAAAGAGAAAAGAAGATTTCATTTATATGTTTATTTGCTCATTGTTTTTCTTCTGTCCTCCTCCTTCTCCACCACCACCACCACCACCACAATCACTTTCTCCTCCTCTTTCTCCTCCTACTCCTCCTCGTCCTCCTCCTCATCATCATCTTTATCATCATCATCATCATCATCATCATCATCATCATCATCATCATCATCATCATCATCATTGTATAAAGAAAGTATTAAAACAGTTAAGACCTTGTTGTGTTTCTAGAAAATATATATTATACACAGTTCAACGTTTCGCCCTCATCATCATCATCATCATCATCATCATAATCATCAATTTCATCTGTATTTGTAAAAACTGCAGTAATCGTTGATAACATGTAATCAAGCGTATTAGTTTAAGAGCAATAATTGCATAATCGGAATAATAGTTCCTGTTCCCAACTAGAAATCGACAAAAACTGACATACTGAATTTAAATCAATGCCACGAGTTCAAAAAACGTTCCAGTTGTCCGGCTATTTCCGTCATTTCAACGCTGCCATTTTTAAAGCAAACTTTAATTAAGAGGGTTGACTGATTAAATCAACCACTTCACAACTGCAGAATAAATATATCCCCAAAGGGGGATATAAATCAAACGCGTCAACACGGCCGGTAATCAAATTGCCTCGAGGCAGATTGGAACAAAATTACATCCCCTGCATAGGCAGGCTCCGAGTTATACGGATCAAAAGAGATCGAATTTCGGTGTTATCGATTAAGCTCTGTTGGTGGGCCAATTCGGCGCACTGCTTCTGCGTTCAATTGCTTCAACTTCACATTGTTTAGTTGTTGTTGTTTTTTTGTTTTTCTTTGTTTGTTTTTGGGGAGAGGAGGTCGGGTTTGTTTTGTTTTGTTTTGTTTTTTGTTTGTTTTGTTGTTGTTGCTGTGTGTGGGTTTTTTGTTTGTTAAATAAAGAATACTATCATTACTCTTTCTGTCCTATTACATCGTTAGATATCGAGAGGAGGTGCCAATTTTAGTCAAGGACTAGGTGGGTGGCTTCTGTTGTAGCTATGTTACCCTGTGGGAGGATCTCTTCGACGCCAATCAACCAAGTTTTTTGTGGTGGTCTACCCCTGCCTTTGTAGCCTGATTCACTGGCGTTTTACGCTCGTGCAGCTGGGTTTGTTTTTTGCTGTTTTGTTTTGTTTTGTTTTGTTTTGTTTGGGGGGGTGGGGAGGTTGGTGGGAAGATGGGAAGGTGGTGGCTTAAGAAGGGGGGGGGGGGGCTTTTGCATCAGACACCAAGCCACTTTGATGTTCAGTATGCTACTTGACGCTTTTATTTCTGTTAATTTACAGTTCGTGATACTGATAAATTTTCTGGCACCTGAAATCTCACAGGCAATGATATTTCTTTTGGTGCTGTGTTTAACTACCACGTTTGTCATAGTTACGTCGGTGTAGGGAGGAATATTCAGTTGATGGGTTTTATTTGTATTGTAATAGTAAATAAGGAAACTAAAATTTGAATTCACTGCTTGCTCAGAAAGTGTCGTACTGTTTCGGTTTATTCGATTCCTTTGAGCCGATCTAAGTCCTTTCCTTTTAATAACCCAGCGCTCATGTGTTTCCTCATTCCACCATGGGGATTTGGTCATGTCTTTTCTTATGCATTGGATTTTCTCTTTAGTGTTTTTACGTAGCATGGTGATAGGGTCAATCTCCAAAAGCGTGTATCTAAATGGTCTCTTCCTCCTTGGGCCACATTTCTCAAGAGTCTTTCTGGTATAGACTCGGCACGGAAGATGGTCGCTTCCGTGACTGCTCAAAACGTCCCATCAACATTTAACTGCCATCTGCACAGAAACTAAAGCTAAGTCTATAACACTGTCTGTATCATTTTCCCTCTGTACCATGCGGGTCATTCTCCCATCATTTACTATAGCTAGATCACACGAGTCTAGAGCATTTTCCAAATCAACTCCCTGTGCGTTGTCCTTGATATTACCCAATAGTATACCTCGGGCATTGAAATTTCCACAAAATAAAGTCTGACCAGAGAGTGTCTGTCAAATGTTTTCCAACTTCCCCCATTCCTTTTCATCCACAGATCCATTACAAGCATAAACATATATGACATTCTGTACTGGCTGGTTCGTGAGTTCCGCAGCGAGCAAATGGAGATTCTCAGACTCCCAACAACCCCTACTGAGTTTCCTGATCTCAATGTTGTTCTTCCTGAGTGTTCTGCCCTGGTCATGCCGGGGTGCACGGAAATAAGCATGCTGATGAACTTGCCGGCAAAGCAGCACCCAAAGGCCGAATCATGCTCGACCCACCAATGGTGATCGCCAGATGCAAGGAGAGATTTCACGACCAAGAGGAGACAAGACTCCCACACACTCAACACTATAAAAGAAAAGTGTGAGAGGGGAACAGGGAAAAAAAAGATTGCTCTGAGGAGTGGTCAGGCGTGTCTCAAACCAGCTCCTCATGGAGACAATTAGCAGCAAGACCCTGATGTGGACGCTGGAAAGGAGAGATGAGCAGCTATGGACATGTGCCGCCTGCTATAATTGTAGCTCTGGATCCAAGTAATTCCAAGTAATGTCGTACTGTCCTGTGATTTAGTCGACATTCGTTGTTCTCGACCCCCCCCCCCCCCCTTTCCCCCCTTTCTTATTTAGATTTTAGCAAAGTGTTATCGGAGATGGGTGATGTCTATATTCACGTCCAATTCAGTCTCCGTTCAAATTGAAGTAGCACGCTTCATTAATTATCTTGTTTGAGTCGATGAGGCCTGAAACATTAATTGTAAGATATACATGTACTTTTCCTCCGTTGCTCTCCTGATGTTCAATTGTCTTTGTTGAACAGGTTCCTCTGTTTTCTCTTATTGTGTTTGAACATGTATATGAGTGTATCAGATAGATAGATAGATCGATAGACAGATCGATAGATAGATAGATAGATAGATAGATAGATAGATAGATAGATAGATAGATAGATAAAAGGTTTGCCGCATCTCTGTTGTTGTGAGTACGCGTAAGTCCAACAAGGTCAGATCAGATTCGTATCGCTGCCAACATATCATCCCCAGATCAGGTGCAGCTCAGACCTGGGTCTTTTGCCCCCTGACGATCCCAAAGACGGGGATCATATGCCAAGAGGCTGGTGTGATGGGCATTGATGATTTCTTAACCTTGAACCATACCCTTCCCCCCTTTTTCCCCTTAACCTCTCCACACCCGCACCTCCCACGACGAAACTTTCGTCTCGTCTCGTCTCGTCTCGTCTCTCTCTCTCTCGTCTCGTCTCGTCTCGTCTCTCTCTCTCTCTCTCTCTCTCTCTCTCTCTCTCTCTCTCTCTCTCTCTCTCTCTCTCTCTCTCTCTCTCTCTCTCTCTCTCTCTCTCTCTCTCTCTCTCTCTCTCTCTATCTATCTATCTATCTATATATATATATATATATATATATATATATATATATATATATATATATATATATATATGTATATTATATATATATATCATATATATATAATAATAACATGTGTGTATACATGTATAAATAAATATATATATATAAGAGCAAATTAGAAACTATCAGCATGACAGATTATGTAGAATTTTTAGAAAAGATTCTTCTTCTTCAAACTTTCTCTTAATTGCAAGTATCTTTGACATTGCCATCTGTACATTTTGCCATATCGCTACCCTAGAATTACAAAGTTTTATCGCTCAGTACCTAGTTTTGAGAAAGTTGATGTAAAAAATCTTTAGTAGTTCACAACATGTCAAGCTTATTCCACCACTCAGAGCTTATACTAGAGTGGGATATAGCTATACAATTATAAATGCAATTTATTATTATTATTATTATTATTATTATTATTATTATTATTATTATTATTATTATTATTATTATTATTATTATTATTATCATTATTATTATTATTATTATCATTATTATTATTATTATTATTATTATTACTATTATCATCATCATCATCATCATTATTATTAAATTTGTATGTGTAGTATTATTTGAATGCATTTTTCTAATTATCAAGATGATGCTTTCGAATAATTTTACGAGCAGATAGAACATTTGATTTCTGACACCTTGACCTTATAGTGACTCATTTAAAACAGCCAAACATGTCGGGTAGATTTTTGTTATTCTTAAGTAACCATATGACATCTGTATCATGCATGATTGACATGGCCATCTGTACCACGTGCAAAACATAATATTGTCAACTGTCATAATATTATGTACCACTCAGGTGCAAGATTCATAGATATGGCTGTCTGTACTGCTTGCAAGCATCACTACCACTACCATCTGTATATGTAGGGCGGCGTGGTGAAATCAGGCGCTCGTCAAAATACAAAAATCGGATAAACATATGCATTTTCCGCCAGTTTGGAGATTTTTATAGACTTTTATTTTTTTCGCTCAACCTCTTTTATATTCATATAAAAATATATTCCCAAGTGTATTTTAATGAAAAACATTGATAAAAGGCACAAAATACGTCATTTTTCTGTTTTCAAGTACTCTCTAGCTATTGGAGTTTCCAAACTTTGGCAGCCATTTTCTCGCTAATTTCACCACTGAAACCAGGCGACCTCACTTCATTCAATCACAAAAATATCTCGAGTTCTATTCAAGTTAGATGGATATTTATTTCATTGGAGCAAGGCAAATAAATCAGCTTTCACATGATACCAATAGCTCCACATGCCCAAAGAATGACGAGCTCCTGATTCCACCGCGTTGTGATATATTAACTATACTCTGTCACATTTTAAGTATATACTGTGTTAAAATGAAAATAGCTAGTTTCACAACCCCCCTTTCTTATTTAGATTTTAGCAAAGTGTTATCGGAGATGGGTGATGTCTATATTCACGTCCAATTCAGTCTCCGTTCAAATTGAAGTAGCACGCTTCATTAATTATCTTGTTTGAGTCGATGAGGCCTGAAACATTAATTGTAAGATATACATGTACTTTTCCTCCGTTGCTCTCCTGATGTTCAATTGTCTTTGTTGAACAGGTTCCTCTGTTTTCTCTTATTGTGTTTGAACATGTATATGAGTGTATCAGATAGATA